TTGGTTACTTTTGTTGGTTTAAAACCTATTGTATCTGCGAATAAAATTGCAACACCTGCTTTTTTCTGCTTTCCATTTGCTTGGAATATAGATGACCATCCCTTCATCCTGAGTCTATATTTATCTTTGAAGGTAAGATGAGATTCTTGTATGCAGCAAATAGCTCGCCTGAATTTTTGTATCCAGTAAGCCAGACTGTGCCTCTTTAGAGGACAATTTAAGCCATTCACATTAATTGAGAATATTGATAAGCCTGGTAAAATTTTGAGTATTGAGTTTTTCGAAAGTCCAGTGGACATTTTTAATGCTTTCGCCACTGTGGAAGTTGGAATTTGATCAAAAATTTCTGAGTGAGTTTACTTTTGTGTTGGAGGATTGTTCTGGTCATAATGGAGAATAGGTCTGAGAATATCCTGGAGAGCTGGTTTAGTTATGGCAAATTTCTTCAACATTTGAATGTCATTAAATTATTTAATTTCTCCATCGTAAATGAAAGTCACTTTAGCTGGATACAGGATCCTTGGTTGAAAGTTATTTTGTTTTAGGGGATTAAAAGTCAATGACCACTCTGTTTTAGCTTTAAAGTTTTCAGCAGAGAGATCTGTAGTCATTCTAATATTCTTCCCCTTGTAGGTTATGGTTTTCTTACGTCTGGCTGCTTTCAGAATTTTCTCCTTCATATTAACTTTAGTGATGTTAATTCTGATGTGCCTGGGGTGTGTGTTATTCAGGTTAAGTTGTGTTGGGGTTCTGAACTGTCTGCTATCTGAATTTCAGAATCTCTTCTCATGTCTGGAAAGTTCTCTTTCATAATCTCATGAAGAAGCACCTCTGTGCTTTGCAAAGCAACTTCGTTGCCTTCAGGGAGTCCTATAAGGTAAATATTAGTTTTCTTCTAATTATCCCAGAGCTCTCTGAAAGAATGATCCATTTTTTCTTTCCATTTCTCTTTCTCTGTGAGAGTCTGGGAGCATTCAAAAGCTTTGTCTTCAATGTCAGAAATCGTTTCTTCTGTTTGCTCCATTCTGTTACTGAGGGATTATACTGTATTTCTCAGATCTTTAAGGGCTGCAAATTCTTGTCTCAATGTGTCAAAATCTTTAGTGATTTTGTCTTTGAATTTGTTGAATTCTTGAAACAACTTTTGAAATGCTCCTTAAATTTCTAATTTCAACTTTGCCTCTATTCTATTAATCGTATTTGCAATCCAAATTCTGAATTCGATGTCTGACATCTCAGCCATCTGTTTATGAATGGGATCTTCAGTTGTGTCTGCCATATCCTTCCTTGGGGAGGTTGATCTACTCTGGTTATTCATGTTACTGGAGTTTTTTCACTGATTCCACCACATGATAGTTTTACACCATTTGGCTAGATGAGCAGATGAGAAGTTGGGTGGGGGGCTCCACAAGCAGTGATTAACCAACCTTTTGCCCAAAAGCTGGGACTGGTGTTTATACCTTTTCCCCTAGAATTTTGCCAAGGACCCATACAGTGCTATGGCCTGAGAAACTGTGGGCCTGCTTGGTGTGGTGAGGCCAAGCAGCTCTATCTCATTTTCAGCTGGTCTCTGTCCTACCCTAGTGAAATCAGTTACTCTGGGTTGAAGTCTCAGCTGTGGACAAATACCAGTAATTAAATCACCCCACTCCCCACCACCAATATTTGCAGAAGGAAAATCATACCTTCCCACAACCACACACAGGGTACCACTTTGGATAATCCTCAGGTGACTGGCCCAGTTCAAGAGGTTCAAATCAATTGTCCCAGTCAGCACCTGTCTCAGGTGGGAGATTTCAAAAGATCTCCAGCAACTAGATAGCAGGGGTCTGCTGGCAGCTTAAGTATGACTTGCTCCAGTGCTCTGTGAGCTCAGAAGGACCCAGCCAGCAAATAAATTAGTCTGGGAAGGTTGATGCCTCCTTCCCCACCTTGCACCTCTGTCACACCCAGTCACTGGTAACCCCTCAGAACTGTGACCCAGTGCCCTCCAATGAGCAGATGCTCCAGGGGTTTCCGCCTGCCTGAGTCACAGGGAGATCTAGTAGGCTGCCACTCTCTGCCACTGTCAGGCAGAAGTGGGCCTGACAACCTCAAGTGCTTAATGGAGGCTGGTGCAGTTCACTCAGTTCCAACCCCACCCTTGATTGATGTTGCTGGCAGAACAGAACAACTTCACAGAATTTAATTCTGTCCTTGCATATTCCCCTGTGGATCAGAGGCTGTTTGAGGTCACAGAAACTGCAACTCAGCCATGTCTGTGCTTTCTGGTCTTGGGGTAGGTGCAGGTAGAGGTCACACTCAGCTGTCAGTTCCAGGTTCTGCCTGCCCACCTTTGTCTCAGCTATGATCCCCTGAGGGCCTGGTGCATCTTAGTCTCAGTAAAGCAGTCCTCTGGGTCAGCCCCGCCCTGGGAGTCTGTCAACTCTGTATGTGTATTCTAGTCCCCAAGCTCCACCCAGGCTGGTACAATCTCAGGCATACCCTTTACTCACAGGGCCTCCATTTCCATCCCAGATCTGTTCTGCCAGTGGCTGTGACTAGAGAAGATGCCCGGCTGCCTCTGGTTGCCCAGCGTGACAGGGAGCGTCTGTCTGGAATATCCCCAGAGGGGATAGGGACAGGGCATGAGCCCTATTGTTCTTGCCACTGCAGCTACTGCTCTGTGCCTCAGGGCACTGCCGCTACTGTATGGTTCCCTCTCAGTTGATGGTCTTCTCCTTATTCCCATGCCACAGAATCAGCACAGATCAGCAACAGCCCTTGCTCTGTCCACACCTCTCAAGAAAATGCCCAAGAATTTGGACTTCATGGGAGACAGGCTTTCAGACCTCGGGGTGAAGGTGGAGGGGAGTGCTGGGAATTCAGAATTGCAGGTAGGGAATATATACAGTTTTATACATTTTTCTACCTGGTGAGAGAGTGCCATGGCACCCTAATAGGGGAAGGAGGTCTGGTCTTTAGAAGGTCTCTCTCATGGGATAGAATGGGAGGACATTTGAACTCTACTTGCTTGTTTGTATGGAGTATACTGTGAGCCCTTCTCATGGGGGAGTCGACTCTTGTCTGCTTGGCAATTGATTTTGTAATTTTGTTTGTATCCTTGGGGTCACAGCTCACTTCAATGTACGTTCTTCATCCATCTTTCTTGCCTCCACCCTCCTCTTTGACTGATTTGTTAAGCCAAATGAAACATTTTAAAAGCAATATGGAAACTTAAAAATAATAAAGGTCAATGTAGCAAAATTTAGAAATAAATTTGTTTAGAAAAGAATTTTTATATTTCAGGCAAATACGTATTTACCTTTCTAAGAATACACAGTATGTTAATGTTTGGTTACAGTATGTTAATGTTTTGCTCTTTTTGTATTGCCTTTCTTCAAATATCTGACACTCTTAAGAATTTGACCTTTTTTCTTTTTCATTTCTTCAGCTTCACTCAGACCCAAAGCACCAACATTCATTAAGTGAACTACTGTTGATGAAAAGTACTACTTTCATAAGAAAATGTGAGTAAATATAAGTTGGTATCATAGAATTACTGAGTACATTGAATACATTTTCCTTTATTCTTGAGATTCTCTAATTTGCTCAGAAGAATATGTTCCAGGTCCCTCCATGTAAACATAAAAGAGGTAAAGGCTCCATCTTTTTTCAAGGCTGCATAGTATTCCATGGTATATATATATATATATATATATATATATCAATTTATTAATCCATTTGTGGGTAGATAGAACACAGCTATAGCCCAGGATGAAGGAGAGAAATGGAGTGGGAAGGGAGGTGGAGGAGGGAGGTTTGATAGAGGTAAGTAAAAGGCGGGACCACACCTATGGAGCATATTGCAAGTGTACAAGTCAAATCTGTCAAGTGTAGAATATAAACATTTTAACACAATAATCAAGTAAATGAGGTGAAAGCTATGTTGATTGGTTTGATGTAACCACATCAGATTGTATAAAAAAATCAACACATTGTACCCCACATATGCATAAATGTATTCATGATCTATGTGTATATAACTTAATTTAAAAAAAAAGAAAGAAAGAAAAGTACTACTATCTTTGTAGAAGCTGCTAGGTCAGTCAGCTCCCCACCTTAGCCTCTTCTCTTCACAACTGCCAACCCTCCAACCCATACCAGAGAAGTAATCTCATGAGGCAATACTGCATTTGTTAGCCAGGTATCAGGAGATTTGGCCTTTGTTCTTGGCAGCTGCTTGGCCAATGAGGGTGGAGTGGAGGAAAATGCGTCTATATTTCGGTGTGTTACCCCTTGTCTTCACAGCTCTGGAAACTTGATCCCTTTGCCTGGTCCTGGGAATCAAGAATTTGAACTTTTAGAGAGATGAGTCACTTCTTTGAGATCATCGTTTTAGTGTATTATTGCTGAATTGTGCAATTAAAAACCAAAAGAAACAACATCACAGAAAGAAAGGATAAAATCCACATACAAAAGTGGCACCATATGCTTAAGTTTATTGTACAGACACAAGTTACATGTTGGAAACTAAATAGAACACTGTACCAGTTTTCACTAACTCAAATCAAGTTAGCAAATGACAAATTTTAGAACAGACTCATTTTATGTCTCGCCCAATGTGGGTGATTACAAAAATATTTACTTTCTATGTTGTTAGTTAGCAAATGAATTTGATATTCTACACAGCTTGCAAGTTACCTTAAGATATTTCTAACCATTTTAAAACTGGCAGGGAAAAGTTCATGTCCACCCTGAAATAAAATGTAGAATGGACCATTTAGAAATAAACAACTTCACTTGTTTATCTATAGCAGAATCACTCTCTCCTGCTAACAATAATAATAAATCTCTGTTTAGATTAGGCTTACTAAATTAACAATGCTTTTGAAATTATCTAGGTTTGATTACATTGTTATATTGCACTTGAGAACAATGACTAAAAAAAAATCAAAGATTCAGTACCTTCCTAAAGATGTTCATTATGTATCAGAAATTAAAATAAAATGCAAGCATATATTGCATGCTGCATATCCACAGATTCATTCTTCAAACTAGCCACTCAACACGTTAAAAAGACACTCCCTAAAACACTGAGTATTAAGAAATTTCATTCACCTTTTTTGATCCTATAATTTTCAAAATTTTGTTTCTTTAAAAAGTATTATTTATCAAACTACTACATATACAAGCTACCCAAGATTACAAAGTGACACTGAGATGGACAATGCTACACATGGCTACTCCAAGATTTACTTACTCTTCTCTACCAAGCTCATCACTACATTCTGCATACATAGCAACATCACAAATTCTGTTTGCCTTAAAAAACCCAACTGATCTATTGTATACGGTAATTCTCTCCCTTAGGATCATGATTTACTATCAAAAATATTTCATAGCCCTCTTAAAAGAAGCTAGTAAAGGATCTTCTACTAATTCTTGAATTTTCTCTTTATATAAATAC